TACATCGTGCTATGAGGCAACCTTTGCCCGGGCAGCGGCATTATGGCCTACTCTTATATCGAATTCCAACTGCCAAGAGATCTTTTACATGCATTTCAATGTATACACCAGACCTCGCCTTTTCATCCCAACCAAACAACTATACAGCTGTCCTTGTCAGGCCCGCTGTTCTTGTCTGGCCCTCTGCCCTGTACCACTGACAAGGGGAAACCACGTCGGAAAATCCCGATGAGCTTTCTCGGCCAATGCAGGGACACGCGACCTCCAGACTAGCGAGCCCGCGTCTTTTTGATAACAGAGAATCAGGGATATGACCTAGGAAAGTAAAACGTTTTTGTGCTTCTAGCATCCTTAAATTTTTTTTCAAAATTTGAAAAACAAATTCTTTGAAGAAGAAGTGGGTTCTTATATTTCTGACATGTTGTACAGTCAATTAGCCAATTTGTTTGACTGGAAGTTTCGTATCTGGCGGTAAACCGATACGAAAATATCGGCGCTTCACCACTCAGTGGCAGCTTATCGTGGGTTTAGTTAGTCTTGTTGTAAGCATTTTATTAACCCGTTCACGATCAGCAGAACGGACATAAAGTGAGTTTATATTTTCACAAACAAAACTCTGATAGTATCGTTTCCATTTGTTTCCACTTGTATATTTGTATTTCGTTTCGTGGTTAATACAATTTCTATATATCGGAAAATCTCAAGTAGGCCTCCCTCGGATCTTTGTTTAGAATGCTGGCAAATTGTTTAGACAAAGGTGCCAAAATTTGTTTGTAGACTCGGCACGCGAATAAATGAAAACGTTTTAGTGAGTTGCAGAAGGAAATCCAACTCTGTTATGACGTTGGGTTGATATGTATGTTTTACATAGGAATAAATATCCAAGATGGAGGGTGTTTTATGTACTTGATTTGTATACATCATCGTGGGTGAACATTTTATTATTTTTACTTAGCTCAAAACAATCAGGGTACACGTGGATCACCATGATAGCCTATACAGCTTATAATCAAATTGCTGGAACCCTTCAGTTCCAGACAATCACAGTATCCGTTGGTCACCATGGTTGCCTGTATTGAAGGTGTTTCAACCCTTCAGCTCGAAACAGTCATGGTACCCGTGGGTCACCATCGTAGCCTTTTTTGAAGGTGTTGGAAACCTTTAGCTCCGAACAACCACAGTGCACGTGGATAACCATGATGGGCTATAAATCTTATGGGTACAGTATGATGTGGGTACAGTTTGACATGGATACAGTATGATGTGGGTACAGTGTAACGTGGGTACAGTGTGACGTGGGTACAGTCTACAGTGTGACGTTGGTACAGTATGGCGTGGGTATAGTGTGACGTCGGTGCATAATTGAATAGTGTAATGGTCAAATATGGACTATGGTTTAGAGGTACTGATACGCGGTTTGATATCCTACTGAAACCAAATTAAACATAAAAATGGATAATTCAGACTTTGTTTTTTATCGTACCGACTTTAGTAATGATGATTGAGGCTAGCGCTAAAATTCATTCGCTAATATCTCGGTTCAAAGTGAAGCAATTTGACTGAAAGTTTGAGCATATTCTATTTACGTTATCTATTTTTAACTTTATATCGAAAACTGTCAACCGTTTATCTAATCTCCCATAGCGCCCCTTTAAGTCTAAAAATATTTTGAAAAAATCTCAAAATATTTTGAAAAACAATATGCAGTCAGGCAATTCGGTTTAAGCTATACAATGTTTCATTTATTTACATCGCATTTTTATTTTCCATTCTACAGACCCCACATAGTAATGGCTTCCTATTTATAAAAGTCTTGTATTGGAATAATACTAAATTTTGATATAATCCATACGCCATGGTAACGTTAACAGACGTTTCTAAGGATGTGATGTCATATCAGAGGTCAGATAAAAGGTCAAACAATTGACACAGTACCGTCACTACTACAAGAAATAACATCCATTAGGAAAGAATTTAAACAAACACGGCATTCAGTTGGGACTAATTGATATTAAGTAATTCGGTCTCAATGTCTGCTTCTCAACACAGTCGGTGACAGACGGCATCCAGCCGCCATTTTATTTTTTTTGAAGACAGCCATTAAATGAAAGAAGTTGTCATAACAGACGAATGATGGAAGTTAATTGATTGTTATCTAAAGAAATAATCATATGATAGCAAAATCTGGATCCGATTCCATTCTTACAATGGAAGGCCTTTTTGGGGACAACCAACGGTTATTATGTAGTCTAGTTATATGGGGATCATGGTGGCTAAGTGGGTAATACGCTGGCTTGCTAGCCTGGAGGTCACGTGTTCGGGATTTTCCGGCGTGGTTCTCCCTTGTCAGTGATGTAGGACGGAGGGCCTAACATGGACAGTTGTCTAGTCGTTCGGATCGGACGAAAAGCCGAGGTCCCATGTACACACTGGCGTGCACGTAACAGATCCCTTGACAATTGGAAGAAGTGTTTACGTACACGCCAATGTATACACGTGTCCTCGGTTTTTCGTCCTTGCCAGGCCCTCCGTCATGTACCACTGAAAAGGGAAAACTACGTCGGAAAAACTTGTTGAACTTTCTCATCCAATGCAGCGCTCGATAACGCGAGGCAGCGTCTTACCCACTTAACCACCGTGGCTCCCCAGTTTGAATATGGCACAATATAACAAGAGTTGATAACAGAATCCGAACATGCATCCCATGCGGTTTCGGTGCCAGACTTGTACATCTGTCGAAGTCGTGGGTTTTCTGTGCATATGTTTAGTGGGCGTTAAACTCCATTTTACGCCTTCCTCGACGAAAGCGTTTTCACAAGAACGTTTGCAGTTACCATTCATGGGAGATAACCCTCGATTATGAAGATGGATACAGACGACTTGTTTACATTATTCTCGGGTTATTGATTCCAACGCTTATTTAGAATGATTCCTTGTTCATTGATATTTTTGTCACTAATTATTATTAGTTCAGAATTGCCAAAACTATACAGAATAAAACCCCAAAGAACCAACGAAAGAAAATCTAGCTCGGTGATACGCGAGGAATTCTTGAGTTCTTGTCGGTAACCATTGGCATCGTCATGTCGAGGTCTCACTTTGCATTTTATGCCTCGGGGATGTACTTCCGGAAACTGATGTATCCCGGAGAAGCTTCGGGAGCGTCGCGAGCCATGTGGAACCACCAAGAGGCCTCGGAAGAATGACTTTCAATACAGGCAGCCTAAGTTTCCTATGAGATCACAATGTAAGAGTGGAAATATAATGGGATATAAACTGCTACTTTGTGTACCTACCAGAATAATAAAGACAGGTGCATGCACTAAAGATCGTTCTACACACGTAGTTCCACAACAAGACATATCTATTTTATCTTCAAGGTCAACATAATGATTATAGGCAAGATAAGAAAGTTAATAGATCGTGGGTAAATAACAATCATTCAAATAAATAACCAAAGTAACTGTATCCACTTTAATCAAAATCTTCTTCTATTAGTATCCACCCGTCCGCATCCACCGAGTACCCGAAGTAAACCCAAGAGTTTGAGACGGTGCCCCTATCTCCAAGCAACTTACACTTGCACCAGGGATAGAAATCGAGAACCGCAAGCAAGAGGACTCGAAGCGCAACTCCCCCTCCCCTACACACACACACACATTTTAACCAAAATGTGTCGGGTTTAGATATTGAAGGGTATCAAAATTCTCACGGCTTAATACATGCTAAATATGTACACAGATTGATTATTTAACATTTAATTAATAAAACATAATTACAATACCAACGCTAGATAATATCTCGGTTTTAAACTACACGCACCAGGCTTCCCCGCTACATGTTACAGTCTTGTTACATAGCGAGCAGCATCGATCGGCGAAATTTCAATTTATCATAACTTTGTAAATGACGCATCGAGCCTTTAAGTACTCCCAGAGCGTTCTGGGGGGTTGGATGGCCGAATGGTTAGCACTCGCGTCATTGAGTCAACTGACGGGGTTTCGATTCCGCGGTTGTATGTGACAAGGATTAGGGTCGCGTGTCCAATCTCGTGGGATTTCTCCGGGTCCTCTGGTTTCCTCCCACTGCTAAAGACCCCTACGCGCAAGCGAATTATTGAAATAAAATTGAACCATGTGTTAGTCCCGAAATGACCTAGTTTGTGTCGAGTGGACGTTAAACCCTATCTCTCTCTCTCTCTCTCCCTCTCTCTCTCTCCTTGGCGTTCAAAACAAAGTGTGGCAGTAGAAGTAGTCAAGATCATCGTTGGCAAGAGAAGATGATGCTGAAAGGAGCTAACCCATCCGCCATATCGCCAGGGTTACCCGAGCAAGGAAACTAGTCGACGAAGTACGTTATGTCCGTAATAGATCAATCTGATTAAAACAACAGATCCTATTTCGTTCCGTTTTTTATAGTTCAAAATATCGTTTTACTTGTCTTTACTACACTAGGATCTGGAAGAGTTGTTATATTAACGGCGTTTTCGTTGAAGTGAGGGGTAAGCCAATGAAACAGTCTGTTACGGCAACTTCTTGGCGTGCCATGCACGGAACTGTGGGCAAACCAATAGAAACGTCAACGCTGATTGATTAATCAATGTCTGACGTCATAGGTGGTCAAAAGCTGCTCGTACGACCTCTAACACGACCTCCGAGTACAACAGGTCAGATATTCATGTAGTGTAGGCCATCAAAAGTATAAAAAAAACGAAAGGAAATATAGATCTGTATTAAAAATCAGATTGGTAGTAGATGATCAAGTGACGAACGGAACTAAAAATAGAAAACAGTATTTGATCGGAACGAAAACATACATCGCATGAAAGAAATGTAACTCTATCAAAGAAAAGAGAGCGTTGTCCCTTTAAGAAGTATTCTGGGTATACAATATTTGGAAGCGAGGGTAATCAGACGGAGGTCATTTCCTTATCTGTGAACGTATGTATATATATACACACACACAAATTGACATAGTTTAGGACGATTAGAAATCTTCAACTGTGTGCCTAGAAGCTTGTAGACGCAACTAAAAAACATGTGTCGCTTTTTGATTTGTGTAATTGCTTTAATGACAATAACAGATGCCCAAGTTGATAAACATGCAACTCAAGAAACCAAGATGCTATTCCAAAGATTGAAGAGTCTTGCTAAAGATGAAACTAAAGTTTTATTTGGACAACAAGAACACACCTGGTTAGGTGCTCAAGGGGGAACATCGCCATATTTATTTTGGGGACTCGATCATGACGGTGCCAAGGGATGGATTTATGGGGTAAGTATTCTGGAGATAATTTTTGTAGTGATGAGTTTCGATGAGATGTTTGTTTTTAAAAATTATTAAACAATAACTAAATCTCATCCAGAATAACATATGGTACAACAATTCAATGGCACCAGGGACAAGGAAACCCATACAATTTGGCAGGCACCGCTACTCGCTGTCAGTACCAGCTTGGGTCGAACATTGGATTACAGACCCTGACATACATGGCGCAAGTTAGACTACCCAAACCTGTTTACTGTATCATTCAATATTGGACATTCATTGTCGCACCTAAATATTAGAGGCCGCGTGACCCACTTCTTTCTACTTTGACCTGTGTACTATAAATCTGTTATGGTTCTTGTTTAGGTTTGTTAAATGAAGTGACATGAATTGGGGTTAACAGTGTCTACTATGAGAGAAATCTAGCCCAACTGTCAAGGGTAGTATTACGAGCACGACTCGTGTTACCACGGGACCTGGGTTTTTCGTCCCACGTTGTCCCTTGCCAAGCCTTTCGCCCTGCACCACTGACAAGGGGGAAACCACGCCGAAAATTCCCCATGAACGTTCTGGGTAAACACAGGGATCGAACACGCCCCCCCCCCCCCAGGTTAGCGAGTCAACGCCTTACTGACCCAAACACCTTGGCTCACTGGTGCTTTTACGCATAATCCGAACAACTAGACATTGTCCTTGCCAGACCCTCCCAAAGAACTTCATCGGCCAACCCCAGATCTCCTGCTTAGCGAGTCAGCGTCCTCTCCACTGATTCACATTTCTGAGGAATTTCCAAGAAGCAGTATGCCAAACAAGGGAGTGCTGCTTCTCCCTTAACGTGATAATACGATGTTGACAGAAAGGGTCAGGATATAGATCGCTATTTTAGAACAAGTATATAAAGTCTAAGCACGTGTATTAGCTTGCAACATTACCACGAAAAAAAGCATGATTGCTTATTCTGCCGTCATTGGAAACGTCAGGACTCTCAGTGCATAAAGTAATATTTAAAACTTAATTTTATTCCAGGATGGCCAAGCTAGAGACCATTCTCCAGATGACCTCTGTGATGTCAAGGGCATCACTGGGTCATACCCCGCCATATTAGGTGTTGACATGTTTGATATGGATTATAAGAATAACGTCACAAGTCATTGGTTGGGAAGACGAGCTTATGAACGGGGTGAAGTAATCACAGTGTCCATGCATCATACTAACCCAATTACAGGTCACAATGCCTGGATTGGGGGCGATACTGGCGATACTCTTCATGTTGTTAGAAGGATTCTTCCTGGAGGAGATCACCACGATAAACTTAATGCAATACTGGATAAGTTAGCAATCTGGGCCCATTCGTTTACAGACTCCAAAGGAAAACCAATTCCAGCAATTTTCAGGTATTTGCACGAGTTAAATGGTGGATGGTTTTGGTGGGGTTTGAAGAACAAGGCCCAGAATACAGAACAGGACCTCCAAAAATTATATCGCTATATGGTCACATATCTACGAGATCAGAAAGGTGTCCATAATTTCCTCTACGCCTACAGTCCTGATAAATTCTCTGATAAAGCTGATTATTTAAAAACCTACCCTGGTGATGATTATGTTGATGTTCTGGGTATGGATTGGTATTATATGTCTTCATCCGACACGAAAACTACTTTTCATAGAACTGTGAAAGACGTGGTAGAAATAGCAGAATCGAGGGGGAAAATTCCTGCCATAACCGAAACGGGATACTCGAACAATGGCATCGAGAAAATGCACAGTTTCTGGAAAGATGACATCCTTGATGTACTAAAATGGGAATCAACAACGAAACGTATAGCCTACATTCATACATGGTCCAATCATTGTAGCGGAAATGGAAAATGTGAACTCTGGGTACCTTACAAGGGTCATCCAGCTGAATGGGATTTTGTAAATAAATTTTACAAAGACCCAATGACTGTCTTTTCATCTCAACTACCAGATATGTACCACTGAACAGCTGAAGAATATCAGACATCTAGCCGAAAGCTAAGATAAATGGACAAAATAAATTACTAGTTGTCCTAAAATCTCTTAAAATATACCGAAGTATCAACTTTTTGGTGTTGTGTTCTGTATATTGTGGTCATCTATTATTATTAGTAGTAGTAGTATTCCCCCTAGCCCTCCAGTAAAATTGTGCCTTCGGAAATCGTCTACCGATCATATTTATTATAATAGGCCGACTGTCAGATGTACTGTTGAGCTATATATAGCCTATCAAATTGATTGAATCGTAAAATTAAAGATACATTATGGGAGATTCGGTAACGAGTTGGCAGTTCTCACTATAATAGTTAAAAACTATATTATGTAAAGGCAATTTGCTGAAGATTTCATTCAAATTGATCCACGATTAACCGAGAACTAAGCGACTGAAATTCACATAAATAAAATTGAACCATACGTTAGTCCCGAAATAACCTAGTTTGTGTCGAGTGGACCTTAAACCCCATTTCTCTCTCTCTGTATTTTGGTGACGATATTTTATTTTGTCGACGCTTTGGAGAATTGCTTCCATTATTAATGTCCAAACTATGGATATATTTTTGAAATTTCACATTGACGACTTCTCTGACCCACACTGATCGAAGGCTCTATATTTTACCTGACCTATCTATACTGATATATGTCGTTTGTTTGTTTGTCTGTCAATTTTATTTCAATAATTCGCTTGTGCGCAGGGATCTTTAGCAGTTGGAGGAAACCGGAAAACCCGGAGAAACCCATGAGGTTGGATTCTAAAAAAAGAAATGCCCTTAATTCCTAAAGACCCGCGGTGGCGCAATGAGTAGGGTTGGGCGTTGGCCCACAAACGTAGAGGTTCTGGGTTCGATCCCTGTAGTGACCGAAACATTTCCTCTGAATTTCCTTCGTGGCATGCCATAGCGTCTGACGAACAGGGTCTAGTAGTTTGGATGGGACGAAAAAACCGAGGTCCCAAGACTCCCAGTTACTCCCCTGGCAAAATTTCTCCCATAGAACATTGTACGGCGTATGCCTGTCTTCATTAGCCCAGTAGATGCTAACAAGTAGGACGTTAAACCCCATTTCATTTCATTTATTCATCTTTAATAGAAAAATTCCCCCCATAGCACAATGTATGGCGCATGCCCGTCTTTATTATCCCAGTCGGGGCAGAACAGTAGGACGTTAAACCCCATTTCATTTCGTGTAATCAGGGAGGCTTTCACATAGAGCTACTAATTTGCCCACTGACTTTAATGTTAATTCTCATTTCTGACCGATTGTTCACTTTCACAAATTGTCATTGGATTGAAGGATTTCTATCGCAGCTGGAGCTACGTGAGGTAATTTCCTGCTCAAAAAATAGGTTCAGATACAGAGAACTATTATTATTATTATTAGTACAAAATTTATATAGCGCCCCTTTCACAGATGTGTTCAAGGGCACTTTACAGTGTAAAAAACAATATACATTCAAAAAGTAAATAAATAACGTTAAACCACATCTTTAATAGCATAGTTTTAGTGATACATATCGGTCAAATCAGAGGAAAATACTGTCAGTGAATCATTGTAAAAGTTGTTAATAAAATCAGTCTCTGCTGGATGACCTTTGTATGGTACCCAAAGCTGACAATGTCCGTTTCCGGAACAATGATTGGCCCATGCGAGAACATAGGCGATTCGCTTAGTTGTCGCTTCCGTTTTCAGAACATCTAAAATATAGTCCTGCCAAAAATTGGGTATTTTATCAATGCCATTATTCATATACCCGGTCTCGGTAATTGCCGGAACTTTACCCCGTTCTTCGGCCATTTCCACAACATCCTTGACCATGCGCTGAAAATTGGCCTTTGTAGTGGAGGAACCCGAATAATAATAATCCATACCCAGAACATCAACATAATCATCACCAGGGTAAGTTTTTAAATAATCCGCTTTATCAGAGAATTTATCAGGACTGTAGGCGTAGAGGAAATTATGGACACCTTTCTGATCTCGCAGATATTTGACCATATATCGATATAATTCTATGAGTTCCTGTTCTGTATTCTGGGCCTTGTTGTGCAAACCCCACCAAAACCATCCACCATTTAACTTGTGTAGAAATCGGAAGATTGCTGGAATTGGCTTGCCATTCGAGTCAGTGAAAGAATTCGCCCAATCGGCCATCTGATCCAGTATCTGTTTGAATTTATCGTGGTGATCACCTCCAGGAAGTATTCTTTGAACAGTCTTAACAACATCCCCGTTGTCTTTTTTGACCCAAGGACTATTCCCAGTGACAGGGTTAGAGTGATGCATGGATACCGTGATGACCTCACCCCTTTCGTAAGCCAATCTTCCGACCCAATGACTCGTTATATTTCCTTTGTAATCCAGGTCATGCATGTCCAGACCTAAAATTGCGGGGTTCGATCCTGTCATCCTTTTGACGTCGCATAGTTCATCTGGCGAGTGTTGGCGAGCTTGTTTATCCTGTAAATATATAATACTCAGTTTAGTTGGTTTAAAGATGTATTTACCCCCCCCCCCCACTACCCAAATGGAGGGCCTTGTGAAATTTAACTATTGAGTAAAGGATTTGCAAAAAGCTATAGTACTATGGACGTGTATTAATTATGAGTGACTAGACATAACATACCGTTTGCTCGACGTATACCTAACTGTGGAAGTTGTTTCGACCTGGAGAAGGTATCCTCGAGGCTAGATAAAACAATTAACCCCTTGTCTTGTAAATTGCGTTGCAAAAAATCATTATTTTAAAAGATAAAGATTGATTTTGAACTTTAAATTAGTTTAGGCAGACTCACTAATCGACTATATATTGATTAGTTTCCTGTAGACAAACGTATTTACTAACTTCCTGCTAAAAACGTGCTAAAATATAAGTTTGTAAAGGCATTTTGGATTATACTATTCTTGAAGCATCCATTAAAACGCAGTACAACTAAACAAGGACATAACGATTAGAGATAATTCCTGTTTTTGCATTTAATTACTTCCGAACTTACCCCAAATATCCAACCATGGACACCACTGTCATGGACCAAAGATTGCGTTAAGTATGGTGGTTGACCTCCTTCTGCGCCTAGAATAGAAAATTGCTGTTGTCCAAACATAATTTTTGTTTCATCCCTTGCCATCTGCTTTATCCTTTGGTACATGATTTTGGTTTCTTGAGTTGCATGTTGATCAACCTGGGCAATGGTTACAGTTACCACCAGGTCAACAATCAGAACTAGGCCTACCCCCAAGTACATTTGATATTTTTCCTTACTATATCGCTTACTGGTTGAACAATGAAGGGGTGTTTCATTGTACACGTGCTAAAATCAAAGTGTAGCAGATAAGATAACGACATAGAGACGATACGGACACCATGTGGTAAATAAGACAAGGTTGTTCCTGAGGCCAACCAGCTTAATAAATCAGAATGGCTCAGGTTGAGGAGTTTGTCTTTTACCAACAGTTCAAGATACCATTGATTGTTTTGGAGAAAGTTTCTATTGGCTGAAGGTAATACATATGACGACGGAATGCCATCATGATCAAGTCAGGGAATCTGACGTTTTGAATACAAGCCAGAAGTATGTACGGAATTCAGCAATCTGGAACCACACTATACCAGTCAGAGGGGAAAGGTCTGGTGGAGGGGAGGGGGTAAACAGCACACCGATGTTCATGTTGAAGAAACGTCATGACGATTTGAGAGATCAAGAGAGAGAGAGAGAGAGAGAGAGAGAGAAATGGGGTTTAACGCCTAGTCGACATAAACTACTTCATTTCGGTACTAAAATATGGCTTAATTTTAGTTTAATGATTTTTTTGCGCGTATGGGTCTTCAGCTGTTGGAGGAAACCGGTGGACCCATAGAAAACTCACGAGGTTGGGCAGGCGACGCTACTCCTTATCACGGAAATGCGGGGAATCGAAACTACGCCACTTGTCTCAATGTCAGACCTTATGGCCAAACTCACATGCGTTAACCATTCGGCCACCCGATGTCAGATTGGAAAAGTCATGTGTCCAAAATACTTAAATAGCTCATGGAAACAACTGTACAAGAAATGGGTCAGCTGGATAGTAGCCACACTTCTCATTTTGATTTTTAATTTGCTTTTTTTTTTGAACAATACCGTTAGAAGCTGCATCTTTTGGTTTCGTAAAATTAATATCTGCGAAGCTCCTTTGTTAGGGAAGAAGAGAATACTAGTTATAAGGTTCTTTAAACAATCTTTGAGTTGCCTAGCGTGCATGTTTCTAACTTTCTGTAATGTTTCGTAGAAAATAGTCTTGATTATCCCGGCCTGTCAATGAGTCGGAGAACGGTCAGTAGACTGGTTAAGAGGGACTAATTTCAAATCAAGGGCAGATAACCTATTCTGCACTAAAAATGCCCGGATGCAATGGCGTCACTTGTATACTTTTTCAGTCTATTGTTTCATTGATGTTATGGTTTTATCTTGTTAAATACAACTGGTTAAGAGGGACTAATTTCAAATCAAGGGCAGATAAACTATTCTGCACTAAAAATGCCCGGATGCAATGACGTCACTTGTATATTTTTTCAGTCTATTGTTTCATTGATGTTTAAATGGTTATATCATGTGAAATACACCACAACCGTTTATTTAGGAACTATAAATCTGAGATGGAAAGTGAATGGTTCTTTCTTGGGAATGGGTAACCCTATAAACACAGAAATTAGATAATCCAGGCGTGAAATCAATTTACATCAAATCCTTATTGTTATTATTAAACCTAAGGCCCCAAACCATGTTGAATAATAATCTTACCCAAGTACGGATTGGCGACATAGTCCGGTTTGGAAGCAGACCGCCATTAATTTTCACCATATTCCCAATTTTTTAAAAATAAATTAATGCTTTGTGACCACTTTATTATAATGGCAGATTATCAACTAAATACAGCATTTGTTTTACATTTATCAATCCATATTTTAATTAATAAGTTACACTTCGTGCAAGTACCTATGTATAAAACCATATAGGAGTCAGACCACCATTACATTTCACAATTTCAGTACCCACAAATTGTAGTTCGTCTTTTTATAGCATTTGTCTTTCTCTCATTTCACCTCTTTTGCGTGTGCATGTTTGTTGGTTTTGCGTGTGCATGTTTGTTGGTTTTGCGTGTGCATGTTTGTTGGTTTTGCGTGTGCATGTTTGTTGTTTTTTTGGACTAGAATGGATGAAGAGGGATTGAATTAACATTTTCTACCAAGTTTTGGTAAATATTCATGATTTAGAGGTGGAAGGATAACAGAGCTAAGGTGATATGTACGGCGAATATTTACATGTTTTTTTTAGTATGCTACTTGGAATTTGTGTATCTCAAAACTTTGGTGGTGAACCCAATACAAATTTTATTGCAAAGATATGATCATTTGTTTCGCTGCCTGTAGTGAAAAACATTCAGCCCGACGAACATTTGGGGAAAAGTTAGATCCTGGCAGAGAATTAACATTGAAGTTAATGGATAAATTAATGGTGGTCTGCATACCTAAAACGTAGTTGTCTCCCTTCTATTACAAACCACAAAATTTTCCCCCACCTCTTTGACGACCAATTTGTGTGATAATCCGGCTATATGCCATAATGTGCGAGAAAAATCAAAGATTCGATATCTTAAATGTCGAAGATCTTTGATTCTATAATTAACCGAGATGGGGCCTTTGAAATCATTTTTGTCCTATTCGTAAAATCCTTCCCGTTTGTCTAATTGTTTTATTCAATAGTTTAGATCGATAGAGGGGGGATTGGATGGCCGAATGGTTAGAACGTGCGCGCTGTATCATAAGGTCTGTCATTGAGTCAACTGGCGTGGTTTCGATTCCCCGATTGTACGTGACAAGGAGTAGGGTCGCCTGTCCATCCTCGTGGGTTTTCTCTGAGACCCCGGTTTCTTCCCACCGCTAAAGACCCCTACGCTCAAGCGAAATATTGAAATAAAATTGAACCATGTGTTAGTCCCGAAATGACCTAGTTTGTGTCGAGTGGAAGTTAAACCCCATATCTCTGTTTAGATCGACAGGAATTTATTAATAGAAGATAGTTATAATACATCCACGATATGAATCATTGTGTATTGGGCCAGAAACCGGGGCCCCAACGCTGTTCATCATGTTGCACGCCATCTTGGGGGCGGGACTCTTCGACAAAACACTAAGACAATTCAAGTCCATCATGTTGCACACCATCTTGGGGTGTGGGCTTTTCGACAAAAGGCTAAGATAATTGAAGCCCACCTTGGAGGCGGGGGGTCTTCTACAAAAGGATAAGATAATGAAGCCCATCTCGTTGCACGCCATGTTGGGGGCGGGGGTTCTTCGACAAAAGCCTAAGATAATTCAAGTACATCATGTTGCACGCCTTTTTGGGGGCGAGGCTCTTCGACAAAAGGCCAAGACAATTCAAGTATGGCAGACATGAAGCTTTTCAGACTTGGACCAATACATTCACCAAATGACCATCTATATCAAGTTTGATCCGGGGTTGGGGCGGGCTTTGAGTAGTCGAGCACCCCAATGTGTGCGCATTAGTTCATAAGGTTTGTTATAGTCACGACAGTTTGATAAATTGGGTAGCAGTTTCGTTTCAATTATTCTACTTCCGCTAAGTGGGGACAACCACCAACCGTAGATGCTACACAACGTTAGTAAAATTAGTCGTGTCAAATCTAATCTATGACGTAGTAAATGAAATGAAATGAAATGGGGTTTAACGTCCTACTGTTCTGCTCCTATACTGGGCTAATGAAGACGGGCATACACCATACATTGTGCTATGAGGGAAATTTTGCCTGGGCAGCGGCGCTACGGTCTACTCTAATATCGAATTCCAACAGCCAAGGGATCTTTTACGTGCACGCCAATGTGTACACGGGACCTCGGTTTTTCGTTCCATCCGAACGGCTAGACAGCTGTCCTTGCCGGGCCCTCCATCCTGCATCACTGACAAGGGGGAACCACGCCGGAAAATCTGAATGAACTTTCTCGGCCAATGCAGGGATCGAACATCGGACCTCCAGGCTAGCGAGCCAGCGTCTTACCCACTTAGCCATGTGATCCCCTGGATGCTACACAATACGTTAGTAAAATTAGTCAAGTCAAACCTAACCTATGACGTAGTTTCCGTTATACGATCACGATATGATGTACATAACAAGTAAGATATCAGAAGAAAAACAGTAATTTGATTTAATTCTGGTAAATTTTCAGTTGTACATATCTTGTAGCTGAGATGAAAAAACAGTCAGCGTGTCATTGTAAAATTTAAGAAATTCGTTCTCAGCCGCATGCCCCTTATAAGGTACAAAAATTGAACACTTCCCAGCATAGTAACAATGATTCGTCCAGGTAACAAGGTAGGCGAGACGTTTCGTTGTTGGCTCCATTTTCAGAACATCAAGGATGTCATCTTTCCAGAAAGTAGGCACATTCTGGATTCCACTGTTCGCGTATCCAGTTTCGGTTAAGGCAGGAATTTTCCCCTTCGATTCTGCTATTTCTACCACGTCTTTCACGGTTCTATGAAAAGTAGTTCTTTTGTCGGATGAAGACATGTAATACCAATCCATACCCATAACATCAACATAATCATCACCAGGGTAGGTTTTTAAATAATCAGCTTTCTGGGAGAATTTATCTGGGGCGTAGGCGTAGAGGAAATTATGGACACCTTTCGTATCTCGAAGATATGTGACCATGTATCGATATAAATCTATGAGGTCCTGTTCTGTATTCTGGGCCTTATTGTTCAAACCCCACCAAAACCATCCACCATTTAACTCTATCAAATATCTGAAAATTGCCGGAATCGGTTTTCCGTTCTTGTCGATAAACGAATGGGCCCAAACAGCTACTTGATCGAGTACCGTGTTAAGTTTATCATGGTGATCTCCTCCAGGAAGAATTCGTCTAACAACATGAAGGGTGTCGCCAGTATCGCCCGCAATCCAAACATTGTGACCCGTAATGGGGTTATGATGTTGCAAGGTCAAGGTGATGATTTCACCCCGTTCATAGGCTAGTCTGCCCAACCAATGACTAGTTATATTGTTGGCCGGATTTATGTCCATGCCTAATATGGCTGGATATGATCCAGTTACGCCTTTAGCATCACATAGGTCATCTGGAGAATGCTCTTTAGCTTGCTTATCCTGGAATGAGATTAATATGTCAATTATTTTTACGTAATTCATATAATGAAACAAGCCAACAGTGAG